TGGCGGGCAAGAAGGCGGGTGGTTTGCCCAAGAACAGGTGGGTGGGCCATGCGGAGATCAACCCCGGTAGGCCCCCTGTTACAGTGTATATAGAGGTGATTGCAAAATACCTCAAAAATATAGCCTTACTCTTGTATAAGGGAGTGTGTGGGGTGTGGTTGGGGGGCAGGCACCAGAGCAGACAGGTGATAGGAGGGCAGGTGCAGGCACAGTGGTGGGGAAAGGGGCAGGGAGGCAGATGGGAGGGGGCAGGTGGTGGTGAGAGAAAAAAGGTAGGGCAAGGGCAGGGGAGGGGTTAGCTTAACCCACCTCCTCCCCCTTCACACCACTGATTTTCTTGACACAGTAGTGGACTAGGGGGGAGAAATTTAGTACAACCCTCCAATATTTATATATATTATAGGGGTGTGCAAAGCAGGCCCTGTCTGATTCGGATTCAGTCCAAATCAGGGACAGGGATTTGATTCATTGATTTGGATCACCATCCCTGAATTGATTCAGCCGAATCCAGGGGTGGAGTGGGGAGCCTCCACGTGCTTGGCAGTGAACCCAGAAGTGGACTGGAAGTACTTCTGGTCTACTTTTGGGTTTGCCAGGGAGCATGCTGGGGAGCTTCCCCAGGCCCTCCTGGCTGAATGATCAGCCACAGGAGGACCCTGGGTGCTGCTCCAGACCCAGGAGGCACCAGTCACTGAGTCAGGTCATGGGGGGGACCCCCTGTGTGCTCCCCAGAGAACCCAGACGTACTTCTCCATGGTGCACCCAGAAGTGGACAATCCATGCACCTCACCATCACAGCAGTCATGAGCCCCTTGCTACCTATATGTATGTAGAAAAAAACATCTAAAGCTGTGTCTATGTCCGTATCTCTGAATCTTTTTGAATCTCTCTGAATTGATTCAGAGGGTCCTGATTTAATTTGGAGATATTAAAGGGTCCTCTGATTCAATTCAGATTTGGAGATTTGGCCACCAAATTGGGCTGAATCTCTGTTGAATCGAATCGGGGACTGAAGCTTTGCACAGCCCTAAGAGCTTATTACAAAGTCTATACGTGGAAAAATTATAACAAAAGTATAATTTTCCATCTATAGAATATAACTATTAGAATGTTATATTAACTTCAAAGTTATCTTGGATTTTGGAAATAATGTATTATACAGTAGGTAAAGGACTTATCCTTCAAAATGAGTTCACTTTGTTTTTGACAGTTTTAAAATTTCTCATAATCAGCCTCAGAGAAATGTACGTTCTACTTTACTAATCATCCCACGTACCTTTTGTTATCCGTAGGTTTGCACCCATAAAATACTTCATAGGCTAGGATGTCAGCCTGAGCATTGTTAAATGCTTCTTTCTGATCAGCCCTTTCAGCATCATTCTTCCTGATAAGCTGACTGATGTATTGTTGTGCCTCAGGTACATCATTATATATTGCATGAACCTAACATGGATTGAAAGTTGGATAGTTTTCATATTTTCTTAAGTCTGGATACTTGTCTGCAATTCATGTGGTTCAGATACCACCTCTTCTGCCTATACATTATGATCTTTTCCATGCTGTTACACTCACATTCCATATTATTACCATTAAACTAATAGTGCAATATAAAAGCCTCACTGATGATGTCATCAGTTAAGTATTTTTCACTGCATACTGAATTTCAGTGAGCCTTATGCACCCACTGAATAATTCCTTATGCTCCTTTGAAATTCCCAGCTGTAACTTTCAATAAAATTATGAATTTACAAATATGTATAGTATGAATATACATTAAATATATATAAATGAATATTTGACTCTATACAAAATATACTTTTTTCTTATCTTTATCTTTAAAAATGTAAATAAAACTACAATACATAGCTTTCTACTATTTCTTCCACAATCGTTTACCTCTTTCACAAGAGTTTTTAAAACTGCTGCCATTGTGATTTGAGGCTTCATTGTTTTGTTGCATATGTTCTCTCTCTGTAGCAGCTCAGTAATCTCCCTTTCTCGTTTGAGTAAAGACTCTCTTATCATTTGCACTGTGGTATGTATTTTTTGAAGAAGTTCCTTTTGCAGAATTTGTTCATGCTTCTCCAGTTCATCTACTACCTGGAAGGTAACAAAGCATAAGTTGTATTCATATTCTGAGAGCAGATATGGACTGTGACTACATAATATTAATGGAAGTGAAAGTGTAAACTTGGGGAAGAACAACAGGATGGATTAGTTAGAAAGGAAATCTTGCTTTCCATCATCCAAAATCTGAAGTTTTTATTTAGAAGAGTGTACTTTAGGAAGTTTAACTCTGACACTGATATTATAAAAAGGGCAAAGCCAATAACTGTGGAGGAGAAATTCTTAGACTTTAGAAATTGTAAGATTCAGAGGGTATATTTTTACAAAACCACAGTAATTGAACATACAATGCAATTTTGTTTAGTCTCAAAATGAACAGCTTAAAATGAACCAGTTATTTCACTTCTAAAAATTACAGTATTGTAACTGTTATTTTCTTGTTCTTTTTATTATTTATTATATATTATTGATTATATAAAATATTTATTATATATTATATATATAACTGCTATTTTCTTGCTCATTTTATTATACATACATAGTTATTATATATACTAAATATATAATGTATATGTATAATTTATATTTATGAATATATTTATAATTTATATTTATATTTTAAATTTATATTTATATTTATGATTTATATTGATAAATAAATGTACAATAACTGTTACTATATATATATTATTTCACATTTGGTTTTGAACAAAGCACAACTGAGCTTACAAACCCTTAGCATTTCATTAAAAATATATAAGTATCACAACTGACATATAATCAGCATACATAACCTGAATGAAAGAGCAATGCAACTGAAAAATTAGATAATGAAATTATAAATAAAATAAGAAAATAAAGTAATTTTGCACATTTACCATCTTGATAGGGTATCTGGCATAAAAGCTGTGCGCACACATTTGAGTAATAGAAAAACTGCTGTAAGAAACAGTTTAAACAAAACATTGTAAATGCTGTAATCTATTTAGAAAATAAATTACAATATTGACCCTTAATAATATCCAGTTATGACAATTTATCATTCTTTGTAAGCTAATATTTTTGGGCAAAATATAAATTGAATAACCCCAACAAAACAACAGTATTAAACTGTCCTGGTCTTTTACAAAAGTTCTCTATATATTTATTCGTATCTATTATGTAACTTCTGATTCAACTTGAGAGAGCCTGACCATGCTCTGAGGACATGGGTTTATGCCAAGCTGTTTACATTGAAAGTCTGCAAGCCAGTGCATGCATAGAGTGGCTAGATGTCATTTCTTCAGTTGTTTGCCAGACTTTCTCAAAATGAACCACAGACATACTCCTACCCTCTGCAAACTACTTTTTGACTCCAAAACGGTGTCCCCACAAAACTTAAAGCATTGCTTTGTGTAATGCTTGTGCTATGCCAGCAGCCCATCCTTATTCACATCTTTCTCCCAAACCATTTTTATTATCACTGAAAAAAAAATAAGGTAACTAATGCGGTTTAAAACCTTGCATTTAATGAAATCCATTCCATGTTACACTAAAAAAAGAAAAAAAAGATAGCATGAATAGAACACCAAAGTGGCCCAATAAAACACTCAAGAGTTAGAAAACAAGAATTAAAGTCTCTCATACAACCTTAATTTAGCTTCATTATGCACATGTATTCTAGTATAGAATCATATGACTGGACGGTACTTAAAAGATTATCTAATCCAAACAATTCAGAGAGATTATTTACCCTGAAAACTCAAAAAGAAATTCCACAACTTCCTTAGGCAGCTTTTTCTCACAGTTATGAAGGTTTGTCATTTTCACAAACTGCTGAGATTTAGATTAAATCTACTTTGCTGCAGTTTAAACCCATTGGTTTAACCCATTACTATCCAGCTTTCATGGCAAATCAAAAGAGTAATTCTTAGTCTTTGTTATGACAGCCTTTCAATTATTTAAAAACTGCTATTGTGTCCCCCATCTTAATTTCCCTTTTTCCACACTAAACACACCTGGTTCTTTCAATTTCCCTACATCTAGTTGGTATCCCTCCCCCTTCAGCATTTCTGTTACTAATGCCTGTTGTGTCTTGTATACAATATTGCTGATAACATTGCCTACACCTGTATTTGCCTTTTTGTGACAGTATTGTATGGTTGGATTGTGCTTTGCTTGTTAACCCCCATAATCCTACAGTTTTCTCTGCAATGCTTATATGTAGGCAATTATCCCTCCTTCTACACTTGCACATTTATTTTTACTTAGATGTAGAATTTCTCATTTTTCTTTAATTACATGAGCACACATTTTTTACCACAGGACCTGCAACTGTACACTTATTTCTCCACTTCCCATGTGGCACCTGGTACCAATTTCTGTTGCCTGCTGGCTCTTGATTTTAGTTTTCACCTCTGCAATGGCTTTGCAGTCCATCCTCATTTTTCTTCAATACTCAGTCCCAGTTTCCTTACATATAGCTCCTGAATTTTTCTACTAGCTCATAACCCCACTCTCATGATCATCAACTACACCACCCACTAACCAACTCCTCTTTTTGCCCTCCCTGTCCTACAGTTCCACACTGTATTCAACTACATTAGTATCAGACTGATTCTTCATCAACTGCCCTATATAATAGAGGTGTGCAAAGAGGGCCATAGTTGATTTGGATTTGAATTCGGCCTGATTGGGGGACACTGATTCGATTCGTTGATTTGGATCACTGTCCCAAGTTGATTCGGTGGAATCCAAATCTGAAGATTTGATTCTGATTCGAAGAATCAGATATTCGGCGATAGACAGCTTTAAATGTTTTTTCTACATACCTCGAGATACCAGGCATGGCTCATGAATGCTGAGATGGTGGGGCAGATGGAGCATCCCACGGAAATGTGCCCCTCCCCCCCCCGCATGCTTGGCAGCAGACCTGGAAGTGGACGAGAAGTACTTCCAGTCCATGTCAGGGTCCACCACTGAGTGTGTGGGGGATCCTCTTGCGCCCTCCAATGCTCAGCGATCAGCTACAGGGGACCCTGGGTACCCCCCCAGACCCAGGAGGCACCAGTTGCCAAAACTGGGGGCAGGGGGGTTTCCCTTTGTTCTCTGTGGCGGATGCGGAAGTGGACTGGTAGTGCTTCAGGTCCACTTCTGGGCCCACCTCCAAGCACGCTGGGAACCCTCCACCATGCTCCCATGGGACACTCCTTCCGGCCCACCATCTCAACATTCATGAGCCACCTGGTACCTTGAGGTATGTAGAAAAAACATATAAAGCTGTGTCTATGTTTGAATCCTCAAATCTATCTGAATCTCTGCAAATGGATTCAAAGAGTTCTGATTCAATTCAGAGAGATTAAAGGGTCTCCTGATTTGATTCAGATTCAGAGATTCAGCTGCCAAATCTTCACCAAATCAAATCAGTGACCAAAGCTTTGCACAGCCCTACTATATACCAATAGTACTAGGATTAGGGGTGTTGTAGCTATGAAGAAGGGTACTTTGCGGTCCAAAGTTTGTCTAACATCTCTCCTGACTATATAGTTGGTCCAAGAAAGATATCATGGAAATTTTCCAACTGTATACCAATAGGAGGAGCACTGAAATAGCACTATGCCCCCTGCTTTCTCATTTTTTGATGCCTGGGACTATATAAACTGTAGCAAAACCCCTGGGTTTTCTTTTTTATTATTTTGAAAGGCATTCCCTCCATTCCCCAACTATTTCTGACTTTCTCTCTCTCTCTCTATTCCCTATAGATAAGTATGAGTAAGTTAAGACAAAGGATAAGCTTTAGCATTTTTGTAGCAAGTTTTTTTTTTCTCTCTCCTTCTTTGATCCACTAGTCTATATTGTACCCAGTAGAATCATAGAAGGTCTGCCCCTATAAAAAGGGGTAGTGAAGACAGACCCGGTGGGATGTCCTCTCCATCTGGACCAGCACCATGCCACACCACTTATCCATCCAGAGACCCTGCTGGTGACCCCCTCTGGACAAAACCTTGCTGGAGAAGACCCTGACTGGCCATCAAGGATCAACTCACAGCCCAGGATAGGTAGCTATCACCCACCTTCCTTCCTCAAGCAAAGGACCTGAATTCTGTCCCAACACACCTTGATTTCAATCCCTCCACTAAGCCTCTTTCTCTCCTGTTACGTGTGTG